TTTGTTATGATAGGACAATATTTGGCCGAGATACAACTATTTGAAAATCTGGAATCTGAGGGTGCAAAAAAATCAAAATATTGAGAAAATCGCCTTTAAAGTTGTCCAAATTAAGTTCTTAGCAATGCATATTACTAATCAAAACTGAAGTTTTGATATATTTACAGTAGGAAATTTACAAAATATCTTCATGGAACATGATCTTTACTTAATATCCTAATGATTTTTGGCATAAAAGAAAAATCGATAATTTTGACCCATACAATGTATTTTTGGCTATTGCTACAAATATACCCCAGCGACTTAAGACTGCTTTTGTGGTCCATGGTCACATATGTATTGTGTATCAGTCACTATTTGTCCTGTATAGCAACCACCTAGAACACCCTAGCAACCATATAGGAACAACAGTCATAAAAAAACATCAAATACTGATGATAACCAAAATCTGTCATGGAAATTCATTAGCGTGTGAACCTTGTATTAAGAGATCTTACTGTACAGGTAGATGATGGTGTGTTTTCACTCTAGTTACTCCTCCCCATCACCTCCACCAATGGCTAGAGCAGCTCCTCCACGCTCATACGCCCCAGCGCCCGCGTCTCCTCCACCATCGGCGGTGGCGGCTCCTGCTGCTGCTCCCCGTCAGCCGGGGATGTTCGCTCAGATGGCGTCCACCGCGGCGGGCGTTGCAGTCGGCTCTGCTGTCGGACACACGATAGGTCACGCTATGACCGGCGGCTTCAGCGGAGGTGGACACTCAGAGGCTGCCAGGCCTGATGTCACCTATCAGGTAAACACAAAGCCAAACTACTTGTTTGAATAGTTACGCTCAGCTCTCCCTTGAGAAAAGGTAGTACACTTTTGCAACTTGTCACAGAAATAATGTACTTTAGAACTGCAAACTGATGTTTTTGGACACTTCATTGTTTTAATTAGCGTTTTAAAAGTAGGATTTAGGTACTTCTTCATATGTCATTACACAATTCCTTCTATTGTCTTCTATGGAGATATTGTACTGCTAAATGTACTGACAAGCATTTAAGGTAAAGTATACTTTAATGTCACACTGAGGACAGCTGAGGGACTCATATGCAACTTTTACAGAAGGTTCAAACGCTCACTGATGCTCCAGAAGGAAAAACGATGCATTAAGGGCCGGGGGGTGTAAACTTTGAACAGAATGAAGATGTGTACATTTTTATTATTTTGCCTAAATATCAGTTTTATAATTTTTTTATTTAGTACTGCCCTTCAGAAGCTACAGAAGATACTTGCATGTTTCCCAGAAGACAAAATAAGTGAAATTTACCCTGATCTTCAAAGCTCTTAATGCATGGTTTTTCCTTCTGAAGCATCAGTGAGCGTTTGAACCTTCTGTAATAGTTGCATATGAGTCCCTCAGCTGTCCTCAGTGTGAAAAGATGGATCTCAAAATCATACAGTCATTGTTGGAAAGGGTTCAAATACACAAAAATGCTGAAAAACCAAAGAATTAGTGGCAGCTGAAGGATTTTTCTGAATAACAGCGGGCAGTTTAATCACATTTAGATTAAATCACATTTTTATTAGCAAACGTTAGCCATTTTTTGCATTGACACACTGATTTGCATTATTTTCATGACAATTCTCTTTACGATAATAATAATAATAATAATAGAAATAATAATAAATAATATGTAATAATTAACATGCATTTTGTATGGTCCCTCTTATTTTGGTAAAATTAACATTTTGCCGATTCTGCAAGGTGTATGTAAACCTTTGAGTTCAATTGTATGTCGTATCTAAATATATTTGAAGTTTAGTACATTTCAAATATATTAACTGAAAAAGTAATAACGGTTGTTACAGTTATTAACTTAGTATGTTGGTCAACAAATCAAAATAAGTGTATGACATGAAATGTAATGTAAATTGTAATTACAAAGTTTTTTTTATGTGCACTTTTTAAAGCTGTACTTAAGTGTGTTAGTCTCTCTTTAAAGGGATAGTTCACCCAAAAATGAAAATTTGATGTTTATCTGCTTACCCCCAGGGCATCCAAGATGTACAAAGCCGACGGTGTTATCGCCTCGCGTCGGACCAAAAAGCTACGCTCAAACACACCGCACCGACTACAGCCTGCACATGCATGAGAGGAATTAACTGTCTATATCAGCAGCTATCAATAGTATATATTCGTCATTCAAAAGGAGAAACCGCAGCGCTTGCTTACCATTTTGAATATCAGTAACGTTGATAACTTTTTAATCATTTTAAGCGGCTCATGTTGTTATGAAAACATTCATGTATTAGGATGATTGGGAAAGATCACGTAACATTTAAACAGCCTTCTGTCTGTACCGCCTTCATTTACTTGCTTGTTTTCATCACTTTTGAGAATGCGCTCAGGACAGTTCGGACATTGCGGTGAATCAGAGGTCAAAAACGATATAAATACTGTTCAGTTTCTTGCACGGACCGATCGTTTTGTGTCTTTACACATAAATGTATCGTCACGAGCCGCAGGGTTTAATTTGGTTTTGTTTGTGTATGTTTTTTTGACTCAAAGCCGTGATTCCCATTCACTTCCATTATAAGACTGACAGACTGCAACGGTTTGAGTTAAAAATCTTCATTTGTGTTCTACTGAAGAAACAAAGTCACCTACATCTTGGATGCCCTGGGGGTAAGCAGATAAACATCACATTTTCATTTTTGGGTGAACTATCCCTTTAAGTACACTTTTAAGTGTCTTTTTATTTCATTACGATTATTTCATTATCTGCAAGTACAGTTTTAAAAATATATGTAAACACTTTATTTTATGGGGTCTTTGTTACAGTGTAATTATAAATTTAAGTACTAAGTAATATTAGTTAGCTACATGTACTTACTATATGCTTAGGGTTAGAATGAGGGTTTGGTTTGGGGTTAGTTGCGTGTAATAATGCTTAATTTTGTTGTTATTTCTAAAGTAAGTACATGTAATTTGCAACAAGGACACCGTAAAATACCAAATATACTTCTAAGAAGGGAAGTACACTACAAGTGCACATTCAGTACATTTAAGCACTTCTTAGTACAGTCTCTCAAAATGTTTTTTTAAATCCTTATATAGACGTTTTGTCTGACAAACATCATGTACAGCCATGCATTAGTAATGATGTTCATCTTTTAAATCTGGTTGATCTTGCTAAATTATTTTAGAATTTCTGCTTTCAAATAACAATATAATCCTGAAAGCTTCTTTATCCTAAACATTCCCACAGGAGCCCTACCAGGCTCAGCCCATGTACCAGCAGCAGCAGCCATCCATGTACCAGCAGCAGGAGCAGAGTCCCTGTGCATATGAGCTGAAGCAGTTCATTGAATGCGCTCAGACACAGAGCGACCTCAAACTCTGTGAGGGCTTCAGCGAAGTACTGAAACAATGCAAATTCTCCAATGGTATGTACACAGATGTTGTTAGTGGCACCAGTTTGCAAAATTGTATAATTAAGTCTAGTCTATTAGTCTAGTCTATTTATTTATATAGCACACTTAAAAACAACAGACGTTGGCCAAAGTGCTTTACATATCAAACATAAGGCATACAATCTAAAAATTGTAAAACAATCACAAAATGACATAATTAATTACAATCAAATGCAAGAGAGAAGTGATAAGTCTTTAAATGAAGAACTCGGAGGGCCAAACAGTATCACTTCAGTCTTAGATTCATTCAGGTGAAGAAAATTTGCTGCCATCCACTCCTTAATATTATTAAAACATGTAAAGAGAGACTGTAAGGCTGAATTATCCCCCATTTTTATAGACCAATAAAGCTGTGTATCATTAAAATAAAGATGATAATATACATTATGTTTCTGACAGATATCAGCCAAAGGAAGCATGTAAATAGAAAATAAGGCTGGACCCAGTATTGATCCTTGTGGAACCCCACACTTCATTTGAGCAGAAGAGGATGTAAAATTTCCTAAATCAACAGAAAAAGTTCTTCCAGAGAGATATGAACTAAACCAGTTAAGAGCAATACCTTGGATCCTAGCCCACAGTCTTAAGCGCTCCATCAGTATTTCATGTATTATAGTGTCAAATGCAGCTGTCAAATCAAGTAAAACCAAAATTGTACACTTTCCCGAATCGACAGCCAAAAACAGATCATTAGACACTTTGAGAAGGCCCGACTCTGCTGGGCCCTAAATATTGATTGGAACTTATCAAAAATACCATTTCCATTTAAATGAATAGAAAGCTGTTGAAAGACAACCCTCTCTAGAATTTGACAGGAAAGACAGTTTTGAAATTGGCCGGTAGTTCTTTAAATCAGCTGAATCCAAATTGGATGCAGAATGGCACAACACCACTCAGTAAACTGGAGTTCACAATTGACAAAAAATCTAGGCCAGGGTTCCTCAAATCTTGCCCTGGAGGGCCAATGCGCTGCAGAGTTTTGCTCCAACCCTGATCAAACTCACCTACCTGTGATTTTCTAATGATCCTGAAGACATTGATTAGCATGCTCAGGTGTGTTTGATTAGGGTTAGAGCTAAACTCTACAGGAAAGTGGATCTCGTGGGCCAGATTTGAGGATCCTTGATCTAGGCCAACCACGTCCAATACCTGAATAAGGAGACGTGGAGGAACAATGTCCAAAGAACACTGAGTGGGCTTCATATGGCAGACTAAGTCCACTAAATCAGATAATGAAATCAGTTTAAACTCACTTAAATAATGTACTAATGAGGGTGGGATGATATAATCAAGGATAAAGTCTGGAGGTAGAATACTAGCTCTAAGAATATCAGTTTTGTTAATAAAAAAAACTCTAAAACTTTTCACATGTTGTTTGAGTGATATCAAGACCAGTAGCTATATCAGGATTTAAAACCGAATCTATTGTTTTGAATAACGCTTTAGGATTATTAGGAATCTTTCTTATGAGATCAGAGAAATATTTAATCTTTGCAGCTTTAACTGCCTTCTGATACTTAATCATAGCCTCTTTCAGTATATCATAAGACACCTGCAGCTTATCTTTCTTCCACTTCCTCTCTGCTTTCCTCTATTTTCTTATATTGCTGCAATTAATTTATAGCATTAACAAGATGACCCGTTGAATTCATTTTGGGAGCGATGACTGATTGAATGTATTTTTAGTCCAGTGCCTGCATATAAGATTGACCAAGTTCAGAGGCTGTCATATGTGGATTAACCATGTTGTGTATTTTCAACAGTTTTAAGTAGGAAAAATAACTTTTATATTGATTCAATGGATTTATTGCATTTTGGAAAAGAAAAAAAAAAACGTGTCATGGATTTATTGCATTTTGGGGAAAAAAATAATAACATTTTATAATAAATCTTTAAAAATCTAAATCTGGATTTGAATTTTTAATGTTATTATAACCTAAAGATGCTATGTGACAGTTTGAAACATAAAATAGTGGTTTTCATCTTGCCACTTTCTTGGTAAAGAAAACACATTTTTACTCAAATCAATCCAAATGGATTTATAGTGTTTTGGAACCAAACTCTTCATATTTTCTCTTGTTGCAATATATTGTGTATGCGAATATAGATTATGTAGTGGACTTGCCTACATCAGTTTGCTTCAACAACATTCCTTTGCTGTATTTTTTCCATTATCATAGTTTTTCAGTGGATATGCGTTCTAAAGTAATTAAAAGATTGATTGATTTTTTCCCCCCCTACTCCTACAGGACTGTCATGAGGTTTGGATTGGAGACATGAACACGACTATTCCATAGCCATTCACCGTCTGCTTGCTTCTGGAAAATGATTCCTCTAAAAAATGCATCTCAATCAGATATCAGGGCCTATGTGAAAAATAAAAGAAGAAATGCTGTGTAACATATGTGATGCATAGTATTTATATATCTGGTGTAGATAACTGCAACTTTCTGATTTTTATTATTTTTTTTCTGCTGGAGTTACTGTAGAAGAGATCACAGTGTGTATTTCTCTGCAGGAGAATTTGTGATATTATTAAAAATGTTTAATTCAAATGATGTGAATAAAAGGATCAGAAACATTCAAGTGCTCTTTTTCCAGTCATTTTTACCCACAGTGTCTATTCAAATATAGCATAGCCTTATTTAAATATAGTAATTTATGCATTTAGCAGACTATCTCAACTAGTCATCTCAACCCCTGTAATAAGTTTAGTAGATGTTAAATCATCTCCCATATATGATAGTAGGCTACATTTAAATAAAAGAATCAGTTGTGAATAAATTATTGTTTTTGTAAGAGTAATTAATTGATACAGAAATGTAAGTGTGAACTGGTTTCCTTCTTATTAGAGTGCATAACCGTAAGTGGTAATACGATATGGGACTGTCCTGTCTTTAATACGGCTTTTTATATTTGGAGCTTGACATTCAGTTGCCATTTGGGCGCTGTGTTGAAGGCAGCAGAGCCGTCATATCTCTCGCGGTACATGATCGCAGGAAGGCTGGGATATGGACTGACCGCTGACTGCACAGATCGACGGAGAGCAACGCTGTTCAACAGGAGGACTAATAGCGAGGTATGTCGAATTTAGTCGCTGTGAATTCGTGATAGTAATCCGCTCGTGTGAGCAGTATTTTGGATGCGATTAATCGTGATTAATCATTTGACAGCGCTAATTACACTGAACAAAATTATAAACGCAGCACTTTAGTTTTCAGAGGCGGACAGTAACTAAGTACATTTACTTGAGTATTGTACTTAAGTACACTTTTCGAGTATCGGTACTTTACTTGAGTATTATTTTTTCTGGGAACTTATAACTTCTGCCATCTGCTAGTTAGAAATAAACCTAAAAGGGTTACAGTTTAGGAAATAAATTGTTTTGACCAGCAGAGGACCATAGAGAGCCATTCATTTTACTGCATAAGACACACCTAAAGGACAAGACTTAGAGTCAGATTGTAGTTGCATATTATTGATTTTAATGAACCAAGTGT